AGGCTCGAGAGCGAATGAACTTTCATTAAAAAAATCCAATTTTCAAGAGAGACTACGTTTAACCCAGCGGATAGAATTAAATTTTACGTGCTTCCTTTCCTGTTCGCGGAGCCATGAAGCTTGCCTCGTTCAAGGGTCGCTTAAATCAGACAACAATTGACATCTTATCGAGAAATATGCGATTATGTTCATCAAAATTGCAATCGTATTTAGATCGTAATGTTTTATCGCTGCGAAATTCGCTGATCCCGAATGTCTTCGTTTCGAATTTATACACACAGGTTCACTCGTCTCAATGTAAACGGATCTGCATATTCAGCCAGTTAATTGCCTGGCTCGTGTGATGCGGGTATCATGGTGAAGATTAGCGAAACCTCACAGAGCATGAGAACTAAACCAAGCCGATTCGCGCATCAAGTTTATGCGCCAGCCGTGCGCTACATTTCAGAACGGAAGATAGTCGAAACGAATTTAATACGCGGAACGAGCAGAAGAATTTGTTTGTTCTGTGACGTTCGAACGCGAACGAGGTACAGAATTAAAGTGGAATTACGCTACGCGGTGGATAAAAGCTCATTTGCGTGGTAAAATTAGCAATCCGTAGCGCAATGGCTCCCAGGGATGTAATTATACTCGTTCTCGGGTGTATTAAAAGAATATATCCTCTGGAAAAGTGTAAAATTATCCACATACTAACTATTTTCACTTGTTCTCGTTTAAAGTGATAATGAAATGTTTGCGAATCACTCGATCGTAATAGACATCTCGATGTTCTGGGTATTGATAATGATTACGTGAATTTGTTGATATTTATTTAGCATATTTCTTATTCTGATTCGCTATATTATATAGGACACTTTTTGATGAAATTTCAGATCAATCCTATATGTAATTGTCCATAATAATAATGATATAAAAATGTGGAAAATTGTGGCAACTATTATAATTTTATTTTGTCCCACAGTACCTTTATTATACAAGCGATCGATATCATATTTAATCCGATTACTCGACGGGATGCAGAGAGCGACATAATGTTCACATAATTTATGATACCTGCGTTGTAATACTATTGCGCACACCTGAAACTTTCGTCCCCAGTGAACGCTTACCTTCAAACGCTGGGGGAGCTGTTCCAACCTACGAAACACCGTGCCATCGAAATACATAATTACAGAATGAATTAAAAACTAAACTGAAAAATTTGAATGCTCCGTAAAATGGCCTGGTATATGTATATGTAGGTAACTAAACCAAATCTGTTCCTGTTGCAATAACGTAGAATTTTTTGTCGAGTTAACTAATACTTGTATTTGCAATTGTTTTCGTTTAATTGCTTATGACTTTGTAATCGACCACACCCTACTTTCATAAATGCATGAGAACGCTGTTATTTCAGCGCTTGTTTGAAATGCCCATTATTCGAAATAATTAAATAACTTTACTGTATCAAATAATGAAATAATTTAATTATGCGAAACACTCATTATTTCGGTTATTTCCAAATAACATTGCGGAGAATAAAATACCAGAACGTTGTTATGAATAGTTGCTTCCTATTTTTACTTCAAACAAATTTGTCCAGGTTCGTACTCGTATTAAATCAATTTTTAGTAGGTTAGTTAAACAGAGACAGACCGGTGAGACATTGATTTAACAATCGACCACCTCCAGAGGAGCATACAACTCAATCTGGATGATTCCCATCGACGTATTATTCGAGTGGATGGAATTTTTTACAGTAGAAAAATGTTACCTTTACCTCTGGTTGCTATACGTAAATGCATTGAGAGGGCCGCGACGCTCGGATACCCCTCTCCCCGTTAAATCTGCCGGGGGACAGATTTTATTCGACTTTCGAGAAGAATTCATAAAACCTTTTTCTCGAATTCGCACCTCCACATGCGCTCTACCATAGAAATTTAATCTTCGGACACGACGCTGGAAATATCGTCGCTCTCGCGCTCGCCTGCGATCCTTAAATATACATATACGCAACACCGTTGAAACATTTCACGGTGTACATTCCCTTTTTTCTCTTCTCTTTTTTTTTTATTCTATCCCGGGCGTAACCAAAATTTTGCAATTTGGACGAATCTCTCGGGCGCACGCGAACCGTTTCACCTTTGATCACGGAGTGTTTGATGGAACTAAAAACTTTTATATTTCACGTTCGCGTCAACGAAACGTAAGGACTCGTGAACATTCGGTCCCGAGTATGCATGCATTTGAAATATCGCTGGGCATTCGTTTGCGACAAAAACAAGAAAATTAGGTTGTTTCTCGTTAACGTACTTTAATTAACGATCGAGGAAGAGAAAAAACGGGGCACGATGCGTTAAAACATACTACGCTTCATCGTCGATTTTTCGTATCGCGATGCGTGGACTGTAAAGCACCCTGGCTAATTGAAATTCAGTTTTGAAAAGCGTTAAGCATTTTCAAAACACCGTACCTACTAGACGATCTATTTACCAAAGCCGAATGGAATGCGCATCGGAGCCAAATAACCGTGAAAAAACTGTCCGCGATATTTAGAAGCATTTACGCTCTTGATACTCGCACGGTCGTTGATGGAAACTTTGAGACCTACAAATTAAGTGCTTTAAAATTACGTTATGTAATGAATTTCCACTGTGCAAGAAGTTTCTAGTGATTCTCCAATATATTATACAAATAAAACACTCTTATTAAGTTGCTTCTATCTTCGAATCCATTTTACTGCAAATATTTCATGGTTGATTTTACCTAATCATATACAGAAGTATAACACTCATATCCTACATTCGTAAATTCGACTTCCTCTTCAGAAAACCTGACTTAAAAATCGATGAGAATAAGAATCCAAAAAGATGAGATTATCATGGCTCGTCAATTTCAATCGTCGTTCGCGGCTTCTGCTCAAAATTACATTTTCCTCGAACACAAACCGAAGCGATTTCGAGGGTTTCTCCGATATTTCGATCCCAAGGACCTCCGTAAGCCGCCTGATCCTCGAAAGGGCCATCCTCCTCCGCAACGCGAAGGGTCGAAACACTTTCGTGCACTTGCTCGCCAGAAATCCATCCGCCGCGTGTATGATAAAAAGGATCCACCCCGCCACCCTGTGACTTCCTCTTCTCACCCTGCCGTTTCCGTTTTTCACCCCTCTGCCCGCCCTTGCAGTCCCCTCACCTCCCTCCTTTCTCTGATCCCGGAAGAATGGAAGAACTCGAAGTGGCGAGCATGTGCCCCGGGATTGGCCAGAGCACTTTGCCGCTGTTCTGCTCGAAAGAGCGACCGAATCGAGTTGAGTCGAGCCGAATCGGGTGCAAGGGTTGTACCACCGCCCGAAATATTTCTGAAAGAACGGCGGCCGACTGGAAACGAGATCCGGAAAGTCCTTGGAAAGGGTACACCTCGACGCGAGCGCCGAGGAAAAGTGAGAACGTGGGAAGAAGGACGGTAAGATAGAGAGCAGAGAGAAGAGGGAAAAAGAAGGACCCGGAGCGAAAAGTATTCAGGAAAGGGTATGAGGCTTAAGTGTACAGGGTGATTCTAGAAACTGGGACAATGAGCTCTTTTTCCAGCGATCGTGTCAAAAATCGGCGACCAATTTACATTCTGACTACGTAAATGGCGAAATCAATAGTGATTCTTATGAAAAATTTAATGAGATTAAACTCTCCGCACGTTCAATTTTCCTGTGAGAATTTCACGTACGAAACGTAGTCATTTACCTTTCATGCTATAAGTTGCTCGATTTTATATTTAATTCCCACGGGCTCCAATTTTCTCTTGGAAATTAAAAAAAAATGTCTCATTTACTTCGTACGATGTGGAGTTTAATGAATGTGATTTAATTTAACCGTAAAAACATATAGGAAATTTAAAAAATTGTAATGATTTTTATCGACTTGACGTACTTTGAACAATTTAATTCGTTGTGGTAGTAGAACAAAGAACAGGGAGATGTTTCGCAATATGAACAATCTTTTAGTAATATATAACAAAATAGAAGTTCTTGAGTGATAGTTTCAAACATCCTATCCTGTGTTATTATTCTTATGTTTACTGCGCAAAGCGAAAAAAACCTCTCTTTTATCAAGAAACCTTGAAGGGAAGGAAAAATAATTAACAATTTTTTATATGTTTTTTATTTTGGTGCAATGATGCAACTGCAACACGATCAAAGGATTAGTTTTAATTTTAACTCCATGCCATCGATTGAAGCAAAGGGTTGGTAATATGCTTTAACTTCTAAAAAGCCCCAATAAAGAAAATTAAGCTTCCCTTATCAAGATGTATTTTAGTTCTAAAGTCAATAGCGTTGTGTTTATCAGCTGCTCCATTTTTCAATGGTATTATGTCTTTAAATTATAGGGTGCTCCACTTTCACCTCAACGTCTTAATTTTCTTGCTTCATATCGCTTCCTGTTCTTTTCCTGTTAACACGTTGATAGCCAGACTGATTCACATGGAAAGGTCTGCAGTACTAAAATTTTGTCTCGAGAAGATTAGAAACTATAGAACTTAACATTTATCGTATTATTTTTCTCGTCAAATTATTCTCATTATTTTCATCAAAATTTACGAATTCTCTCCAGATTTGTTTTCATTATCATTTAGCTCGGAAAAGCTCTGTCACCCCATGTATGGGTGACGTGGCGTTCAACGTGTTAATTTGCATGGTTCCTTTGAGGAAGAGTTACGATTCGTCCCAGTTTCTGGAATCGTCCTGTACAGCGAAGAAACGGGTGGTCGTTCGGTCGTACGTGAAGGGTCGGCGTTAGGCAGTTGGAACGTGGAATAGCGAGGAAAAGGATAGATGGAGAGAGAAAAAGAAATGAAGCGTGGCAGGACGAGAGTAAGGGCAAAAGGACGAGGGAGCGGGGGAGGACGCGAGAAGTGAGATAGAGGGTGAGAGCGAGCGAGAGAGACAAGTCGAGGGGGTTGATGTGCCTAGGGTCGCGCGAGAAGAGAACGGAGAGTGGGGAGATTCCCTAGCAGAAACCAGTCGAGTCCCGGCCTCAGGTCGCGACGGGTGTTCAGTTCACAGGCGAGAGCCGTACCGTGCGGTTGGCCTGCGTGTTGTTTCGGGTTGTATTCCGTGGTCCTACCCCTGAAGCCGGTCAAACTTTGTCGTCACGGTCCGATAGTGGACCAAGCAGCATTCACCGGCAGCGTGTCAATTTCGACAACGAGTTCCATCGAATACCATTCGTATTCGCGGATGCAATTATGTACGCAAACTCCGCGAATCGTCGAGTTAATCGCGTGTGACGAGATCGCGGCGCGTGTTCAATGTGTGGCCAGCTTTCGTCGTAAACAAACGTAACTTCTAGGAAGCGTTACCACGTAATCGTCGCGTCTGGACGCGTTCCGAACCGTACTCTGCTCCGAAAATCGCCCGCTACGTCGTAAACAAACGGAGCCTGGTGGGTCTCCACGCAACGGTTGGCAGAACTTTGTCGTCGATTCCCGAAGTGTAAACTGCACCGACGGAAACGTTTGCCCTGCTCTTATTCGCTCGGTGACAGCCGTTGGCGGTGCACGAAACTGTGAAAAAAAAACCGTGGACCACGCTCGGGGGATTCTAACCCATGTTTCGAAAGTGAGTGAGAGTGACGGTTAGTGTGCAAACAGGGCAAAAAGTGATAAGAGGATAATTTTCTCTCGTTTTTTTTTTTATTTCTCCTTTAACGAGCAAGATACCTCGCCAAGATATTTTTCTGCCACTTCTACCACCCCGGTCGAGGAGCTCGCCGACTATTACAGGACCGGCAGCAACTTCACGCCACTTCGTACACCGAGTGGTGAGTGTTATCTCTTTTCTCCTCTCGTGCCTTCGCCATCCACCCCCGAGCCTTCTTTACTCGCTTTTTGTACGCGATGATCGTGAACCGGGCGCACTTGCGCCTAACTTCCCTCGACCCCGCGACAGAGATAAGATCCTAGGTCGGGGGAGGTGTTCGAGAGGTCCTACAGAGGAATCCCTTTGACGACATCGTCGTCGATCGGTCGTCCACTTACGCCTTGAATACGATGTCCTCTCATCTACTCCGAAATAGAAGGCGCGATTGAACCGGATAGGACGTTATATCTACTCGCAATTCCTTTTATCCCTGACTCTTTGGAGTCTCTGTCTCGTCGAAAGCACGGATGCCTATCGGACGCGAAAAAATCGTTTACGCGCCAAAATTGTCACGACAAAGATGGCCGACCATTGTCAATCAGTGTTATATAAAGTTTAGCATTGCATTGGTTGCATCTACGTGGTTATTAATATTATTTTTAACGGTGATTTTTTTTGGAGTGACATGAGTAATGAAGTATCATTCAAGAATAATATTGACGTTAGAAATCTTAGTTTTACTCAATTTTTGATTACGCTTTGGTCGCAATTTTTGGTGATTATGGCGATGTGAACTGATTTGCTCTGTTTTTTCTAATTTTAAACATATAATATAACAATATTTCGTCAGACTTAAAAATATTTGCTGTTAATGAAGAGTACCGATAAGAATGATTGATTAGAAAGAATCTAGAGCTAATAAGACTTATATAGATTTATCTGAAATTTGATTTTATAATTCACTCTTTGCTGTCTCTGTTTCCTCGCGGACGCAGATGATATCGACCGTGACACGAAAAAAAAACGTTTACGCGCCAAAATAGTCAAATGGATTCGATCGAGTAACGAGTTTTCCACGAGTCCGGTTATCGCGTTTCGACGGATCTGAACGCTTATTCCTGATAGGCAATCGTTACCTTTTATGATGAAAATGGACTGATGGACAGGAATTATTTGCTACGCTCGCAGGCGGAAATCACCTCGCGAATACGATGGAATCTATTACTCACTTTTGTCGGGTCGTCGCGTGACGTCAGAGATGGACAAAATATTATTCGAATAATAAATTCGACGCATAGTAATTGGTGACGTTCGACGGGAGCGACGAGTTTTTATTTGCTCGGTGAGAAATATTTTATTCTACGATTCAAATTTATATTTTTTTCCAGGAGCGATGGATAACGTTGTTTACCTGTAATTTGTGATTCGAAACGTTTAGGATAGATAGGAATTTTTACCTCTGCGTGATATTTCATGGGTATGTAGCTGCAATATTTATTTTTATCAATATTTTTTCGCTGGTTCGGTTTGTGAGAATTTGTTTGGAGTAGTCTGATTTTGGAGTAGACTGATTTCGGAGTAGTCTCATGTTGGAGCAGACAGATTTTTGAGCAGACTTTCTAGCACATTTTCTCGATTAATAAAATGTACGCGTCAAAAAAACGATGGCGAATAACAAACGGATCGGAAAGAGGTACTGTCCATCACGAATATCAGCTTTTAACGTTCCGTGTGCTGCATTTCCATTTAAAAATTCCCAATTGTTCCCGACGCGGACTTGTTCTTCCGCGATTGTTTTTCGGAGAGTTTCGGAGCTGCTTCTAGAATTTCACTATTCACGAGTTGAATGCTTAATTTGCGCGTGCCGCTTTCGGTTGCGTACGCAATATATACCGTTGGTTCTACTTCGTTGCCAATATTTGCCAACATTTTGCAATTCGAATTTTCACAATCAAGCCGCTTCTGAGAAAAACTGGGCGCCTGCGAATGTTTGTCTTGATACCGTAGAAAATACTCGTTGTCCGCTCGACTGCGAAACATTGGACAGCACTGAACGAAATTTCGGAGCAATTCGGGTTAGAAAACTGTTTAAAAATACGAGCATCGCTGACTTTGGCTTCCTGGTCGAATTTCGAATTCTATACAACCCGAATCCACCAATTGGTTTTCTGTCAGGGCATCCCATAAGTATGGATTTCTTACGCATCGGATTTACCTGTTTCGATTATACAATGCTTCCAGTGAAAGCGTATGATTCATTTGAAACAAAACAGAGAGGGTGTTCGTGCCTCGTAAACGACACCTATCGTGACTCATTGGTTTGCTGAAATGCGGCCTAGCTTAGCCACTTCATTCGGATTATAGTGTATACTTTATGATACATAGGTTTTATGAAGACGAATAACTGATATTGTGGCTGAAAATAACAATATCGTTCTAGAAAATAGAGAATTGCGTTTTTACTCAGTTATTTGCTTACATTGTAAAAATATTTAACAGGGCGTGGCGCATAGAGATAAATTAAAGTGGAATATTATACTACTATATTATACATTTATAGTACGAGATTCACGAAGAGCATTCACGAAAGCGGCAGCGCGCACATCGCGAAATTAGCTCAATTCATACGATGAGTGACCCAATTTCCGCGCGACCAGTCAAACGGTTCTTATGAAGCGATCCGAAGTATAATGGCCGTGTCCAGGGTGCAAGACTGGGAATTTAAGAGCATTGTCGTGTTGCGCGACCGAGTCGGAAATAAGAAAAGTTTGAATGAAACTGTTTGCACGGTATCCGTAGAGGAAAAGTCTCTCTCGGTTTCTATCTCTCATGCTCGTTTTCTTCGGCGCGCGGCGTCGCGATATCAGGGATGTCTGTAAATCTCGTGGAAACCATCTTCTGGCGTATCTGCACCGAAGGAGGAGAACGATCGCGATGGCACGATAAAAAATATGGCGCGGAAATGATGAGAAATAAAAGCGCGGCGAAGGTTCGTTTTTATGCCGTAATCTTGATGTTACGTGATACATGCGGCGGGCCGTATAAAAGCGAGATATATTGCTTTATGAGGGAAATGAGATTTTTATTCGCTCGCCGTCGCGAAAAAAGAAACACGGACGAATTCTAATGCGCCAGAAAGCATTAATTTCGCCCTTGAGAAATTGCGCTTATCGCGACAGTCCTGAATAGCGCGGCCATCTACCGTTCCCGTTTTCTTTTACAACCGTTTAATTAATTGTGGAACTCGACGATCTAGCCAAGAGAATTTCAACGGTCCAAGTACAACGAAATTATTGTGATCGGATGATGAAGTTACACGCCGTTTACATTCCCAATGTCCTACTTTTAAAAGGTGGACAATTTTACTACATCCTAACGTTGAATTTTATTCTTAAAAGTTTTAGAATCCCATTACATAATATAGTCTAACTTTGGAAACGTGTCGTTTTTGGTATTATTAGACCCGACTATAAATTTTTATCTTATCTAAATTAAATCGTTTATGTTTGCAGTGATGTCACTAACAAATTTTGTTAGACTTACGATGCCCCCTCATAGGGGACATCCGAAATGTGAATGGTTAAATAATTTCTGGGGATCTGATAATCATTATAATATGTCTTTTGAACAGGAATTTAGTATTAACGTGGTATCACGTTTCAATAAACCCATAAAAAAACTGCTTAGCATTATCTGGGTTAACCAGATCAATATATGACGATCATTGCGGAATTAGTTTTGACGAAAATGAGGGCTGAGAGGGGGGATGATCGCGTGCGTTTGCGAATATCGTAACGGTCTGTTCCGCGAACGCTATAATTAACGAGCTATTCTAACGGTGGCCATGAACGCATCGACGACTACGACCAAATAATTAATTACTGGCCGCGATTGTGTCTCCGAACGAATTAATTATACGATCGCGTGGCGCGTTGAATTCGAGCACGCGACTTAATTTCGCGTTTCCGGACGCGAGAGGACGCCACGAAATTCAACCGCATTCCGAGAGTCGCGATCTGAACAGCCGGTTCCGTTACAAATGGCTGGGTAGCTCGGCCCAGCGCGGATCTCTCGGTCCCGAAACTCCGTCATAAATCAGTTGAAGACGAGCCAGCCTCGAGAAACAGCATCTTGGAGACGTAGAGCGCTTCTGTTGGCTTCTGGAGCGCGAAAGTTAGCGGAATGCTTGTGTCTCACATCTCTTGCTACGTCACGCCCAATTCGCGACAGGAAACCCGAGCCATAAAGAAAAAGGGGTAGTAAAGGGGTTTACAACGAAAGAGTGTCCACTCGATCAGTAAAAACTACTCAGTTTTGGAGTAACCAAAGTGAACACAGCAAACACTCTTCGCGTGGAAATCCTGGTCGCTTTTCCTATATTTTTAGAGGGCCCTCCATCAAAGTTTGGAAATCACTGACTCGATAGCTACCCCGAGGCGTGGGAGGCGAATACGCGATCCACGAGACAGGATCGCAAAAGTTGTCCGAACATTTGCGTCTTACATCCTGTTACGTCACACCTAAGTCACGACGGGGATGGGAAGAGATCCCGAAGAAAAAGGGGTCGCCTATCCTCTGTGTTTCGATACGGAGGACGTTCTCCGGGCTAGTCGCGCGAGCGACGTCGGCGTTAGTAGCTAGGCAGCGACATCAGCAACAGCGGCGGCAGCAGTTTGAAAGTTTCGTGCACGGGGGTAGCGAAATTTCCATAAGTTGAGGGATGGCTTCTTCTTGGCAAAGTGAGAAAAGATTGTCGCGAGAGGCGAGACCAGCGGACCCCGGAGATGGTACGCGAGGATAGCGCCGTCGCGGCGGCTATACATTACTCGCTTGTCTCGCGCCACCGGGGATCTTTACCTGCTATCTCCTTTAAGTTTCTCGAGAAGGTCTTCGTTCGCCTCGTTTTCCAGACAGAGACGGTTGGAATTTTATTCAAATAATAGAACACGAATAGAAACACTGCGCGACGATTCACTCGCAACGTTTAGTCGATTCGAGCTGGTTGAAAGAGGTACTATTTGTTCAACGTGAAAGATCGTTTCACTGTGTGATTCAGATTGTACTTTCTATCGGATAAATAATGGATCGAAGATTGTTTTGTTCTGTGAGCAGTACTGGAACGAACTGGAGTGTTTCGAGTTTGGTAGTATAGAGCTATACAGTCAGTCTCATAAGTATTCG